ACTGCCTCCCACACACTGGCAACGCTCCCCCCCCGACCCTGTGAGAGAGAAGACACTCACCTTCACAGCTCCGGACATCCCCTGGAACAAGAGTCAGGCTCTGCATACACCATCAAGCAGCCCCTCTCAGATCCCACTTGGTTCCCATGCTGCATGTGTCCGTTCTTCCATCCCTTCCTTTGGGGGGCGGCGCTGTCCCCCTGAAAAATGCCACCCTAGCCAAATGCCTTGTTTGCCTTGTGGTCAATACACCCCTGATTACGTCTGGAGGAAAAGAAATGTGATCTCCAAACACGGAAAGGTTTCTTCACAGTGAGAGCTGTGAGAATGTGGAATAGACTCCCTCCAGAGTTGGTTGTGGCCAGCTCAGTGGATTGCTGTAGGAAAGTCCTGGATTCTTTCTTGGATACACAGAATATAACTGGATATAACATTTATAGGGAAAGTTGATCCAGGGAATATCCGATTGCCTCTCGGGGGATCAGGAAGGAATTTTTTCCCAGCAGGAGCAAATTCTATCGTGCTTTGCTGGGTTTTTTGCCTTCCTCTGGATCAACTGTGGGTGTAGGATTATAACTTTTTTTTTTTTTTTTTTTTTAATGGTTGAACTAGATGGACTTTTGTCTTTTTTCAGCCAGACTAACTATGGAACTATGTAATTAGGGCAGTTAGCCAGCATTTTCTTTAGAGCAGCACAATGCCCGCCCAAGAGGGACCTCCTGTTTTTTCAAATCCAATTAACTTTTCAGGGAGCCCACACTCATAGTTCCTTAGGAGCTTTCATTTAGATAGAAACTCTAGGCAGTTATTATTATTATTATTATTATATAATTTATTTTACCATTGCAGGAAAATCCCTGATTGCATAGCTAAAAACTAAAATTTTAGATAAATTCTAAATCCAAACCTTTAATTCAACAATATCCACACAAAGGTTTTCCTACATTTATCTAGTTAATCTCTTAACCCCTTATTAATATTAAGAGGTCGCACTGTACAGTTTAACACATTGCATGCTATCGCTTTTTGTAACTAATTCTTTTTTTTCTTTTTATATTTTTAGTTATTTCAGGTACTCAAGGGGTGTACAATCTAAGGTCCCTAACCCTCAAGGGGCGTACAATCTAAGGTCCCTAACCTTCAAGGGGCGTACAATCTAAGGTCCCTAACCCTCAAGGGGCGTACAATCTAAGGTCCCTAACCTTCAAGAAGCGTACAATCTAAGGTCCCTGACCCTCAAGGGGCGTACAATCTAAGGTCCCTAACCCTCAAGGGGCATACAATCTAAGGTCCCTGACCCTCAAGGGGCGTACAATCTAAGGTCCCTAACCCTCAAGGGGCGTACAATCTAAGGTCCCTAACCTTCAAGGGGCGTACAATCTAAGGTCCCTAACCCTCAAGGGGCGTACAATCTAAGGTCCCTAACCCTCAAGGGGCGTACAATCTAAGGTCCCTAACCCTCAAGGGGCGTACAATCTAAGGTCCCTAACCCTCAAGGGGCGTACAATCTAAGGTCCCTAACCCTCAAGGGGCGTACAATCTAAGGTCCCTAACCCTCAAGGGGCGTACAATCTAAGGTCCCTGACTCTCAAGGGGCGTACAATCTAAGGTCCCTAACCCTCAAGGGGCGTACAATCTAAGGTCCCTAACCCTCAAGGGGCGTACAATCTAAGGTCCCTAACCCTCAAGGGGCATACAATCTAAGGTCCCTAACCCTCAAGGGGCGTACAATCTAAGGTCCCTAACCCTCAAGGGGCGTACAATCTAAAGTCCCTAACCCTCAAGGGGCGTACAATCTAAGGTCCCTAACCCTCAAGGGCGGGCGTCTCTAACTCACATTCATACATACACATACTAGGGACAATTTAGACAGGAGCCAATTAACCTCCCAGCATATCTTTGGTGTGTGGGAGGAAACTGGAGTACCCGGAGGAAACCCACGCAGGCACAGGGAGAGAACATGCAAACTCCAGGCAGGTGGTTGGGATTCGAACCAATAACCCCAGTACTGCCAGGCAGAAGTGCTAACCATTTAGCTACTGTGCTGCCAATAATTCATATCCAGTATGTTGTATACCGTGCCGTTGCATTTTATTTTTTTTAATTCCTCTAAGTACCCTATTCCTGCAGCGCTGTTGTGTGGTCACATGACCTCTCCCTGTTCTTTGGCATCTGCAGGGAAAGATCCTTGGTGGGGGCTTCTGTTGCTGCAACATGAGTCTGTGTCTGCACAGCCCTGGTCACCTAACAGCATGTCTTTGGAGTGTGGGAGGAAACTTTTGTACCTGGAGGAAACCCACACAGGCACAGGGACAACATGCAAACTCCAGGCAGGTGGTTCCGTGGTTGGGATTCGAACCAAGGAACCTAGTACTGCCAGATGAATGTGCTAACCATTTAGCCACTGCAAGGAAGACGTATATAAGTACATTCAATAAGAACACATATGACTTAGGCTACGTTCACACTGGCTTTGTCAGCAGGCATCAGACAGGAGTTTGGGAAGTGTTTTTAACGCTTCTCAAATGCCTATGAAAATTCTGCACATGGCAGCACACAGTGCTGTTCACACTGAAGCGTTAGCGTCGCGGCAAAACTGATGCCTCGTGTTGAGTCAGGAGGAGTTGAAGCCTCCCATGCAAGTCTATGGTGCGGCCCCTGAAACGCCTGGCAGGTGTTTGCGAGGCGTTTGCGAGGCGTTTGCGAGGCGTTTGCGAGGCGGTTGGGGAGCGTTAAGACCATTTAACATTATTATAGGGATTTGTGGTGAGGTTTTAACGCTTGGCAAACGCCTATCAAACGCCTCAAAACCGCGCATAGGGCGTTTGGGGAGTGTTAAAAACGCTTCCCAAATGCCTGTCTAACGTCTCTCAAATGCTATAGGGGCATTTGGCAAGAGTAATGGAGCCATAGACGGGTCAGAAATTGGCCGATTTTTGCACTGTTAGTGGGTTAATTGGTCGGCCATTTTTCGGGCTTTTTGCACATTTTTTTATCAGTCAAGTTGGAAAATTTGCGGCCGATTTTGATGATCGGACAATTTTCCTGGCAATGATGGGCAAATTGGAAGAGGAAGAAGAAGAGGAGGAGGAGGAGGAAGAAGAGGAGGAGGAGGAGGAAGAAGAAGGAGGAGGAGGAGGAGGAGGAAGAAGAGGAGGAGGAGGAAGAGAGAGGAGGAGGGGGAGGAGGAAGAGAGGAGGAGGAGGAGGGAGGAGGAAGAAGAGGGGGAGGAGGAAGAAGGAGGAGGAAGGAAGGAAAAGAGGAGGAGGAAGAGTAGGAAGAAGGGGGCTAGGAGAAGAGGGAGGAGGAGAGGGGGAGGAAGAAGAAGAGGAGGAGGAGGAGGGAAGAAGAGGAGGAGGAGGAGGAAGAAGAGGAGGAGGAGGAAGAAGAAGAGGAGGAGGAAAGAAGAGGAGGAGGAGGAGGAAGAGAGAGGAGGAGGAGGAAGAAGAGGAGGGGGGGGAGGAAGAAGAGGAGGAAGAAGAGGAGGAGGAGGAGGAAGAAGGAGGAGGAAGCAGGAGAAGAGGAGGGGGAGGAGGAGGAGGAAGAAGGAGGAGGAGGAGGAAGAAGGAGGAGGAAGGAGGAGGATTCTGCTCTGTCTGCTATTACATTTTACATGAAAGTCTTGCGGTTGCAATAATGAATCTATTTGTATCCAAATAAAATAACATCTGTATCCGAAATGGATACAAATGGATACAAATGGATACATTGTTGCAACTGCAAGACTTTCATGTAAAATATAATAGCGGAGCTCTCTGCAAGGGACAGAAGTCATTAAATGCCGGCTGTAGACGGGATGAAAATCAGCCACTTTTTTTACTGCTGGTGGTAACGTCGGTCGAGCAAACGACCGTTTTTTTTTTTTTTTTTTTTAAAACGGACAGTTTTTGACCCGTCTATGGCATACATAACAAATATGTCAGGTGTAAATGAGCCCTAATTCTTTCTTCAGTGTTCATTTTTTTTTTATTTGCCGCATGTGAATAGGCAGTCAATCCAAACAGTACCTCTTCTGCCTCCATCACCATGAGAAGGAGAAGCATCTCACTGATAACGATGTTATCTCGCACACACCTGTAATTAATCAGTAGTTCTGCTCTGTAAGGGATTTTTAAAGCATTAGAAGGGTTCGCCCCCAAAGGACGGAGGTTGAGCGATTTCAACACCGCCGATAACAAATGCCAGTGTTTCACCTTCAGATACAGAGAGAATGTTAACACAACATAAAAGGTATGTGACATGACAGATAGGCAGATCTGTATTCCTGGCACAGACAGCCTTTCCCCACAGTAACAACAAGACAGGAGAAAGAGCACTTCTCCAGCAACAGACAAGCCGCAACATATTAACGCGACTCTGCCATCAGTATTCCCTGTTAGAGACAGAAAACATTTACTGCGGGTTGATTCAACATGAATTTCCAGCTATCTGTACAGGGCAAAAAAAAAAAAATCGAGAGTCTGTTCATTACCGGTCAGTTAGATAGCTCTCGGTATCAAAATAATGAGCTTACCAGTGCCTCCCCATATACCATCAAGGGGAACGTCCACCTGAAAGTGATATTTCAGAGTCTGGTGCTTACTGAAGAGCTCAACCCAGGGGCGGGCGGACTGACAACTCATGGGGGGGCCCTGGGCAATAGGGGATCATGGGGCCCCTGTGTCCTTGCCCACACTCAAGCTACACCCAAAAAGCCTATGAAAGGTACCAGGGGCATCTCAGGGGCAGTGCCCAAGTTCCCGAATGGTCAGTCCGCTCCTGGCAAAACCCCTTTAGAATCTCTTCTTTCTGTAGCACTATCCCCTGAAAGGGGGGGCTTGATCCTGACCTGGCTCCTGTCTGTCAGCTGCTCTGTGTATGACCCCGGCTTGATCCTGACCTTGTTCCTGTCTGTCAGCTGCTCTGTGTATGACCCCCGGCTTGATCCTGACCTGGCTCCTGTCTGTCAGCTGCTCTGTGTATGACCCCGGCTTGATCCTGACCTTGTTCCTGTCTGTCAGCTGCTCTGTGTATGACCCTGGCATGATCCTGATGTTTCTCTTGTCTGCTGTTCCATATTGATCCTGGCTCTGGCTACTGACCACTCTACCCATCTTCCAGGATCCATGTTTCCTCTGGAGAAACTCCTCCTGCAACCGGAGCATCCACAGGTTCCAGCTTATCAGGCATCTCCAAGCACATCTCAAAACCACACCCAAAAAAGCCTATGAAAGGTACCAGGGGCATCTCATGGGACCCCCCTACTGACCCCGGGCCCTCAGGCAGTGCCCGGGTTCCCGAATGGTCAGTCCACTCCTGGCTAAACCCCTTTAGAATCTCTTCTATCTGTAGCTCTAACCCCTGAAAGGGGCCACTGATTTTCCCCACGTTCTTTTCCCAGATTAGGCTGGCCATACATTATACAATTTTCTTTAGAAAATTGCTTTAGATTTACCAAAAAACCAAATAATATGAGGTCGAACCTAAACAACACTTTCAATGGTATCCAATTAAGCAGGCCCTTGCACCACATAGTTTGAAGGTAAATCTCAAGGAAAATGGACGGAAATTGGACAGAAAATTGTTTAGTGTATGGCCAGCCTTAGTGAAGAGATAGCCAAGTGCATAACAACACTCGGGTTCTATGATTAGTCCGGGGGGAGGGGGGGGGTTGTCTTTTTGAGATTTATTGCTGAGTAAGGTTGGACTTCAGTAACTGTCAGGAAAAAAAAGACGAGGAAGCCCAGGCAAATGCGCCAATGCTCAATATGGCCACGCCAATTTGCCCAAAGTGCGCATAAGTGGGTGGCACCTAATTGCGCATTTCTGTGCATGAAAACGCACCAGCACACACAGGGTGCACTAATTGCTGATGTTCAGTGGCCTTTATAAGGACTGCAGCTCTGCTAAGTGATTGCTGGATTATCGTCAGCCCCCTCCTGTTCCTGAGTGTACTGCTGATTACCCGCTACCAACCCGGCTTGATCCTGACCTTGTTCCTGTCTGATGCACTGTGTATGACCCTGGCTTGATCCTGACCTTGTTCCTGTCTGCTGCTCTGTGTATGACCCCGGCTTCATCCTAACCTTGTTCTTGTCTGATGCTCTGTGTATGACCCTGGCTTGATTCTGACATTGTTCCTGTCTGCTGCTCTGTGTATGACCCCGGCTTAATCCTGACCAGGGGCGGACTGACCATTTGGAAACTCGGGCCCTGCCCGGGGTCAGTAGGGGGCCCCATGAGATGCCCCTGGTACCTTTTTCATAGGCTTTTTGAGTTTGGGTAAGGACACAGGGGCCCCATGAGTTCTCAGTCCGCCCCTGATCCTGACCTTGCTCCTGTCTGCTGCTCTGTGTATGACCCTGGCTTGATCCTGACCTCTCTCCTGTCTGCTGCTCTGTGTATGACCCTGGCTTGATCCTGACCTCGCTCCTGTCTGCTGCTGCTCTGTGTATGACCCCTGGCTTGATCCTGACCTTGTTCCTGTCTGCTGCTGCTCTGTGTATGACCCCCAGCTTGATCCTGACCTTGTTCCTGTCTGATGCACTGTGTATGACCCTGGCTGGATCCTAACCTTGTTCCTGTCTGCTGCTCTATGTATGATCCCGGCTGGATCCTGACCTTGTTCCTTTCTGCTGCTCTGTGTATGACCCTGGTTTGATCCTGACCTTGTTCCTGTCTCCTGCTGCTCTCTGTATGACCCTGTCTTGATCCTGACCTTGTTCCTGTCTGCTGCTCTGTGTATGACCCCGGCTGGATCCTGACCTTGTTCCTGTCTGCTGCTCTGTGTATGACCCTGGCTGGATCCTAACCTTGTTCTGTCTGCTGCTCTGTGTATGACCCCGGTTGGATCCTAACCTTGTTCCTGTCTGCTGCTGCTCTGTGTATGACCCCAGCTGGATCCAGGGGCGCACTGCACTTAGCCGTAAGGGGAGCCCTCTCTCTATTGCAGTCTCCTGTCAGGTACCTGTCAGTCCCTCTGAAAGAAGGACTTTCTTCTTAGAAGGGTAGGAGCCAAAGGAGTGGACAGCACTAGGGCACTGTAAGGATTGTCCAAGCATTGGCACTGATGCACGAAGGATAGTAACAACAATCAGTCACTAGCATCCTAGACTCAGGTCTGTACTCACAATGCCCCTAGATACGTGGATGCCTCCTTCCAATATCAGCCAGATATTCACCAGTGAACTCTTCTGATCAGACTCCCAGCCAAAGCTGGATCTAGCCTATCTAGTCTGGGGGTGCAGTAAAAAAAAAGTCAGGGGGCATAATGCCAATACTGTGTGTGACTCACTGGGAGCCTGTCATACAGTGTCACCACCTGGGAAACGCTAGTCTATATTAGGCTGACACAGAACCAGTCCTCCTTATATCAGAGTCCCCTTTAAATCAGGATTCCTCATCAGAGTCCCCCTTTAAATTGGGTTCCCATCAGCTTGCTCCCTTACATCAGTTGTCCCCATCAGAGTGCCTCCATCAGAGTGCCCCCTTGCATCAGTGTGTCCCCCATCAGAGTGCCCCCTTGCATCAGGTGTACCCATCAGAGTGCCCCCTTGCATCAGGGTGTCCCCATCAGAGTGCCCCCTTGCATCAGGTGTCCCCATCAGAGTGCCCCCTTGCATCAGGTGTCCCCATCAGAGTGCCCCTTGCATCAGGTGTGTCCCCATCATAGTGCCCCCTTGCATCAGGTGTCCCCATCAGAGTGCCCCCTTACATATGATCATTCTCATCAGAGTGCCCCCCCCCCCCCCCCCCTACATGGATTGTCCCCATCAGTGTGTCTCCTTATATCAACTGTCTGCTTTAGGGGACCTGAGGGGGCACAGCTAAAATCCCAGCACACCCCTAGATTCGGGTCTGCTCCCAGCGAGACCCCTTGATTACCTCCAGAGATTCTCAGAAAAGTAGGCCACCTGGCTCTGACTTAGCTGGGAGCTCAATGAGCTCCTGTAAGAACAGCTGAACTGCCCAGAAGGGCAGAAGTCCTTCAGGTTGGGAACTTTTCCTCCTAGACAAGGATCCAATATCATCTCCCCGCTCCCACAAGGGAATTCACCATCTCAACTTGTCCAAGTGACTGTTGTCACAGAAAATTATGGGAAATCCAAAATATTTGTTTGAGTTGTTGTCAAATGTTGTCAATCAGTCTTGCACAGGTGATTTCACTGCACACTCTGAGCTTCTCACAATGTACATTGGAAGCTGTAGCAAGTCAGAAAGAGCTCCGTCTCATTCCATAACTGGAGGAGATCCAACATTATCTAGATCTTTCCTCCCAAGCCTGACTGTCCCTGGCCCTGCTCATTTCATTCCTTGGATTTCAGTTATTTCAATCGTGGAGGCTCAGCATCCAGGTGGGGAGACCCCTGTCTCAGCTCCCCATATCCATCTTATGTGTAAATCACCCTGTGCCTGTTAGGGGTACAGGGTGATCTGTCCTAATATTGGGTGGGCTTTGTCTCAGACTGTGTAGACATGTCTAGGAGATAGGTGGGGTGGGGGTTGTTGACTGTTTAATGTCATGTGGTTGCATCCCATTGTTCTATTGTGTGTCTTGCTTGGGAGCAAACTATTATGGGATGTATGTGTTTATGCGCATTAGCTTAGTGGGGGGGGGGGTGTTCTCCAGCAGCCCTCCCTCCTGATGGGACTGTCTGCTGGTGTGAAGTTTGAATACCTGTGTGTCTCTTGTTACTAAATGTAGATTGCCCACCTTGTGTCATTATGCAGGGAGGGGGGACTGTCCCCCGAGTGTATATATCTTGTATCTGTGTTCAAATAAACTAGTCTACCTCTTGGTTTACTTCAAGACTGGTGTCATCTAGTCTTGTATGGTCTGCTGTGTTCAGTTGTCGGTGTTCAGACAGGGAAGCGGTAGTCTAACGGAAGTACTCAGCGCAGTCTGGGTCGGTTCTGTTACAGTTTTATTCAAAAATATCATTACCATGTTGGTGAGGAAAGGGAAGGCAAAGACTAGGCAGATGTAACCCAAGCTTTACGCTGTAAAGATCTCCTGTAAGAGTCCAGATCTTTTATTCGTGGTGGATTTTTATGCAGAAAATGGCATCCATTTCCCGTCTCTGCCTTAATATACCTGTACACAGACCGGGTACACTAAGACAAAAGACAAACTTCTCCTTTTAGTCAGCGAACTTTGTTTTGCATGATGAATTCCATTTATAAACAGAGTTCATATGAATAACTTCAGCAGGCATTTTAATGTTGAATATTTATGGAAATATTCTCTGCAGCTCTCTCTCTCTCTGGCCTGCGCTGAACTGCGGTGTTAGATAAAATCCTTTTTTCCATAAAATCTGAATGCCGTATCGGTATAACCCGAAGCCCTTGCTTAACCGGTCGGCACTTCTCGCAGTTAATCTTGTTGCTTTCTGGGCCTTTAATTTCTGACACAAGAACACTCAAATCGTCTATCTCTTTGCTGTAGGTCGATGTGTTGGAGCAGAGTAATAGTTCTTCTGTTTCAGCTTGTTGGAACCCAAGACCTCTTCATGATAACACACATACAGTGGGGATCGAAAGTTTGGGCACCCCAGCTAAAAATGTGTATTAATGTGCATAAAGAAGCCAAGAAAAGATGGAAAAATCTCCAAAAGGCATCAAATTACAGATTAGACATTCTTTATAATATGTCAACAAAAGTTAGATTTTATTTCCATCATTTACACTTTCAAAATAACAGAAAACAAAAAAAATGGCGTCTGCAAAAGTTTGGGCACCCTGCAGAGTTAATATCTTGTACTTCCCCCTTTTGGCAAGTATCACAGCTTGTAAACGCTTTTTGTAGCCAGCCAAGAGTCTTTCATTTCTTGTTTGAGGTATCTTTGCCCATTCTTCCTTACAAAAGTCTTCCAGTTCTTTGAGATTTCTGGGCTGTCTGTTACGCACTGCTCTTTTAAGGTCTATCCATAGATTTTCAATTATGTTGAGGTCAGGAGATTGTGAAGGCCATGGCAAAACCTTCAGTTTACGCCTCTTGATGTAAATCCCCCGTGGATTTCGAGGTGTGTTTAGGATCATTATCCATTTGTAGAAGCCATCCTCTCTTTAACTTCAGCTTTTTCACAGATGGCATCAAGTTACCATCCAAAATTTGCTGAAATTTTATTGAATCCATTTTTCCTTCTACTCGTGAGATGTTCCCTGTGCCACTGGCTGCAACACAACCCCAAAGCTTGATTGATCCAACCCCATGCTTAACAGTTGGACAGAGGTTCTTTTCATTAAATTCTGTGCCCCTTCTTCTCCAAACGTACCTTTGCTCATTCCGGCCAAAAAGTTCAATTTTAACTTCATCGGTCCACAGAACTTGTTTCCAAAATGCATCAGGCTTGTCTATATGTTCATTTGCAAAGTTCAAACGATGATTTTTTGGTGAGGACATAGAAGAGGTTTTCTTCTGATGACTCTTCCATGAAGACCATATTTGTACAAGTATCTCTTTATAGTGGAATAGTGTACCACAACTCCAGTGTCTGCCAGATCTTTCTGGAGGGATCATGCAGTCAAACGTGGGTTTTGAATTGTTATTTCTCACAATCCTGCTAGCTGTTCTGTCTGATATTTTTCTTGGTCTTCCAGATCTTGCTTTAACTTCCACTGTTTCTGATGACTGCCATATCTTAATTACATTCCGAACAGAGGATATTGACATCTGAAAACGCTTTGCTATCTTCTTATAGCCTTCTCTTGCTTTGTGAGCGTCAACTATTTTCAGTTTCAGTTTTCTAGACAACTGCTTAGAAGAACCCATGGTGCTGATTGTTGGGGCAAGGTCAGATGAGTCTGGGCATTTAAAACCTTTGAGATTGACATCACCTGGTCTTCCCAGACGATGATTGAGAACAATCCATGACACTGGCAGGTCTCAGCTTGGCAAAGGGGGCAGTGCACGCTATAAATTCTGCAGGGTGCCCAAACTTTTGCAGACGCCATTTTTTTGTTTTCTGTTATTTTGAAAGTGTAAATGATGGAAATAAAATCTAACTTTTGTTGACATATTATAAGGCATGTCTAATCTGTAATTTGATGCCTTTTGGAGATTTTTCCATCTTTCCTTGGCTTCTTTATGCACATTAATACAAATTTTTAGCTGGGGTGCCCAAACTTTCGATCCCCACTGTACCTCAGGACTTAAAGGAAAACTCCACATTGTTGGTTGTTGTTTTTTCATTTTGCGGAACGTTCACAAATTTATAACCATTTTATGCATCTATTTTTTTATTCTTTCTATAAATCATTTTATTGAGCAATTTAAAGTGTGGTTTGACACCCTCGTTCAAGTTTACAAAGGTACACTATATTGCCAAAAGTGTTGGCTTTCCAATTAAAAAGTATCTTTTATTACAAATGGATTAAAAGGATGGTTAAAAAGGTCCAGCGCACAAAGAATAATCACTTGTTCAATTATAACAAAGATAGCCCCCTTAAGGAGAAACATCCACCCGGTGTCCTGTAGGTGAAATGTCCAATCCCGCACTTCTGGTGTCCTGACATCACTAACCATGCCCCTGACGTGTTTCGTCACAAATAACTTGACTTCCTCATAGGATAACAGTACATTTTGAGCATCATTGTAATAAATTTGAGGTATTTTTGTTCTTTCCCCTAATATTATTTCACCAACACTATATTGCCAAAAGTATTGGGCCACCAGCGTTTCCACGCATATGACCTTTAATGGCCCCCGAGTCTTAGTCTGTAGGGTTCAATATTGAGTTGGCCCCACCCCTTGCAGCTATAACAGCTTCAACTCTTCTGTGAATGCCGTCCACAAGGTTTAGGAGGGTGTCTATGGGAAGGTTGGACCATTCTTCCAGAAGCACATTTGTCAGGTCAGGCACTGATGTCGGGGGAGGAGGCCTGGCTTGCAGTCTCCGCTCTAATTCATCCCAAAGGTGTTCTATGGGGTTGAGGTCAGGACTCTGTGCAGGTCAGTCAAGTTCCTCCACCCCAAACTGGCT